GTCAATCTAATTTTGCTGATATTGAGGATAATTCTGATAATATTAGTGAAATTAGTGATCTTGAGGATGTTGATTGTTCTCAGTTGACTATTATAAATGTTACATCATCGTTCAAAGGAAAAGAAAAAGTTAAGGATTTGTTGGTTGAAATTAACACTGATCAACCATCAACTTCGAAAGTTTGTGATGTGAACTTTGTAGAAGTAAAAGACAGTCAAACTGACAATAGTGATGATGAAAAAGAAGAGAAACAAACAAAGAAAAAGGAATTTTTAAAGGAAGAAGAAATTCCTCGTATACTTGTTGATCAAGTGTATGGAGACACACAATAGTTCGAAAAAGTGCTAACTGAGAAAGGGGCTCATTTCCTAGAAACGAATATTGTGGTTTATCCAATCTTCAAGTGTTCTGATGATGTTGTTTTTCTGAACCAAGTCTTTGTAACTACTGGAAACGTTGAAAATATCAAACCAGAATTCGAGAAAATGGTGGAACAAGATAACATAAAATCATCGGAAGAAGGGTTCTTCGCAAATCAGTGCACAACTGAAAACAACCTAACCAAGAATTCATATCTTTTTCAAAGACAAAAACCAAAGAGAAAATTGGTTGAAAAATCTAAAGTTGAAAATGAAGTTATTAAGAATTTGGTTGAGGAAATTAAACAAGAATCAAAACTTAATTCTAAGGAATTGAAGGAGCAAATTGTCAAACTTTCAACAGAAAATAACATTTCAAAAAGACAAACAAGAAAGAAAATCTTTTGGCAAACAATTGAAAATCAAAAACTGAAACATGAGAAATCAAACCCAATTCAATATATGAGTTCAAAATGTTTTTTAGACAAAAAGAAGATTTTAAATCAAATAAACAAAAGACGGTCCAATTCAAAATCACCAAAATTTGTTTACAAAGTCAAAACCTCTCAAAAGATTTCGAATGAGTCAAAAAATCTAATCCTCCAAAGATATTTGAACACTCAGATTGCAATAGAACACTCAGATTGGGTTGTTGCAATGCAATCTGAATTGTTTGAATTTGAACAAAATAAGGTTTGGAGGTTAATTCCTAAACCAAATGATGTTTCAATTGTCGGATTAAAATGGATTTTCAAAAGTAAAACCGACAAAGATGGAAATATAATTCAAAACAAAGCCAGACTTGTTAAGGGATATTCTCAACAAGAAGGAATTGATTACAAAGAAACTTTTTCCCTTGTTGCAAGACTCAAGGCAGTTCGTATATTTTTGGCTTATGCAGCTCATAAAGATTTTGATGTATATTGAATGGATGTGAAGTGTGCATTTCTGAATGGAGAACTCGAAGAAACAGTGTATGTGGAATAACCTCCAGGTTTTATAAACGAAGAACATCCCGATTATGTTTATATTTTATTTAAGGAAGTTTATGGTTTGAAACAAGCACTACGAGCCTGATATGCAACTCTTACTTCCTTTTTGAAGCAATCTAAATTTAAACAAGGATCAGTTGACCCCACATTATTTCGTAAGAAAGTTGGGAATCATCTAATGCTTGTTCAAATTTATGTTGATGATATTATTTTTGGCTTAACTGACCCTGCTTTGTCTAAAGAATTCGAAGATCTGATGAAGAGTAAGTTCGAAGTGAGTATGATGGGAAAGATTAATAATTTTCTTGCTTTGAACATTCATCAAAACAGAGAAGGAATTTTTATAAATCAAGAAAAATACATGAAGAATCTTCTCAAAAAGTTTGGCTTGGTGAATAGCACGAAATTTCGCATTCCAATGGCAACTGGCATTAAACTCACTCCTTCGTTAGATAAACCTGCCGTTGATATAACTTTATATAGAAGCATGATTGGATCTTTACTTTATTTGACCGCAAGTAGACCTGATATCATGTTTCCTATTTGTAATTGTGCTAGGTATCAATCAAATCCTCGAGAACCTCATCTCACTGCTGTGAATAATATCTTTCGTTATCTCAAAGGAACATCTTCGCATGGATTGTGGTACCCTTCGAATACTGGATTTTTTATTCAAGCATATCCGGATGACGATTTGGGAGGATGTAATCTCGACAGGAAAAGTACAAGTGGTGGTTATCAATTACTTGATGGTAATTTGGTAAGTTGGCAATCGAAAAAGCAAACATGTGTTTCTATCTCAACGGCCAAAGCTGAATATGTTGCTGCTACTGCTGCGTGCACATCACAGATAATATGGATTCAAAGTCAATTACGTGATTATGCAATTAATATGAAAAAGATTCCTTTATATTGTGATTCACAAAGTGCAATAAGAATTTGTCATAATCCTTTGCAGCATTCGAAGACCAAACACATTGCTCTTCGCTATCACTTCATAAAAGATCATGTAGAAGATGGGAATATTGAAGTTCATTTTGTGAAAAATACTGATCAATTGGCTGATATTTTCATGAAAGCATTGGATGAAAAATAGATTGTAAGAATTTTAGAAGGACTTGGAATGGTTGATGGTAATTCAATTTCATGCGAAAAAGAAGATTGACAGTTCACATACACGTCATCAATGGATAAGGTTACTGTTCATAGGTCACTCTTCGAATGCTTCAAATTCGTATGATTGGAAATTTTTTTTTTCAAAATTCAAAGATCTAAAACAAGTAGCGTTTGTGCATTTTTTTATTTTCGAAAACTAAAAACATCAAAAAAAATTTCAATTTATTTTGTTCTTTCTTTTCGAAAAATAAAAAACAACAAAAAGATTTTATTTTTTCTTTAAGTACTTTGTTGTAGATTTTCTTGAAGAGATGAAGAGGCAAATGTTCGCATGATTCTAGGGTCGGGTATAAATCTCTACTCTTTAAATTTTAAATTTTAAAAACTAGTTAAGATGTCCCTAGAAGCATGCTATAGCATGTTGTCTAAATCCTCGAATTGACTCAATGTTCGAAAGCCTTTATGAAATTATTCATACGAAGATTTCTTCCCAATAAGGCTTACATTCACATTAGTCCAATGAGCTACCTTACTCTTCTCACATGAGTTAACAGTTTTCTGTTTGGTCCAATATAATAGAGGTACATTCTTTCTAAGGAACCAATCTTTTTCATCTTAAAATTCTTACACTTGCACACACGACGACATATATCCACAAGGTTTCTGATCAAAACCAATCAAAATCTAGGTATATCACAAATTTGTGTTAATGATCAGTCGTCATGAGACTGTGATGATAGTGAAACCCAAATTTCTTTCCAAATTAAGGAATTGACGGGGAACTATGTTCCAGCTTTAACGAAACTTTTGTTTCAGTACCAATCTTCAAAACTCCAAATCATATTCATTTCGTATGAGTGATCTTGATCAAATTTTCATAACTCACGAAGTTTATTACCCATCAAGATCCAGCATAATTTTTTTTCATGAATATGATTTCTGTATGAGTTTACTTTAATCCCAAAGTTACTTTAAATATTTTTCAAAGCACACTTGTCACTGGCTACACTAGTCACACAAGTAATTTCTGTTACAATTACTCACCTTATGTTAAGGCTGATATGTAACGAAATTGTTTTTAGCCACCCATGTAACCTTACAAAAGATGCCCTTCTAAACTAATTTACAAGTTTTCGATTGTATTTCACGGGAACATACACAAGCTGTTGATTATCTCTCTTAGTAATTAACGAATCAACCTTTGCCTGGGGTTTAACTGCCTTCGTGTCAAATTCATTTTTGACATCACAAATATCCAAATTTTTTTAATATGCTTCTGATCTTAATTCTTTGACATAATGCATGCACGAAATCCTTAAGGTTCTGAGTAATACCAACTCAAGCTGATGATTTCGAAACTCTGCCAAATGACTTTACTTCGAAACCAAAAGTAAAAGAGCTTAACCTCCATCCGAAGGGTTCTGACTGTTACAATTCCATTGGGTTAATAAATACAGGCTATTTGAGGAGACGTTTTTATATTACTTCCGGTTTTCAAGGAGATGTGACAGTTACTTTTTGACGCATGGTTACTTTATCATCATCATGATGTGCTTTTCTCTGTGACACATCAGCAAGCATTAAATGCATATCCCACTTTGATTTCAAATTGAAGAGTTACATATAAAATGGGATACAATGGTTAATGATTTGTTTAGGCTTTCTTCATTCCAAATACTATTTGTAAATCAAATTCTCTCTGTTCATCATTTACTTCAAAACCCTAAAAATGGAGAATGTTGCAAATGTTACGGCTGAACCATCTCACCCAACGGATGATGTTACTTCTTTGCCAATCATGAAGATCTAGGGTACCAATTATCAGGTGGAATCCAATGTTTCACTGTATCCTCAAGAACTTAAAATGTTGATTGTTGCTCTGCAAAACTCCGTCATATCAAAAGCAATGTTCAACTCCTTTTCTGTTCTTCTCTCCTGGTTATCACAAGCTTGATCAACCGCCACATATTCCAAAGGATTGGATGCTGTTGCATTTAATCTAATCAATGATAAAAAGGTTAGATTGACACAAATCCTTTTCTAAAAAATTATCGATATCCCAAATTCTCCACCATATGTTTCTTTCACATTTCCTCAAATCGTCCACATGTTCAACGAAATGGGTCATCAACCCCAGTTAACTAAAATCAACGATTTTAAGAAGTTGGGGCTTCCATGTGTATGGAATTTTATTTTTGGGATTTTTCTTCGTTGTTTGACTGGCAGAATGGTAGGACTTGATAATGGAAGAATGGAGGTATACGCCATGGTAGCAGGGCTGTATTATGATCTCCAGATGGACTATTCGACTCAACTCTGGAAGGAATTTCAAAATAGTATCGAGAACACGAATTTTGTTCATCGTATTTCGTGTGCTAGGTACTAGAGCTTGATTTTGCTACATTTCTATGATAAAGAAGGGATATTAGTTCCATCTAATGAAGAGAAGGTTGTGTTTCACACATATTGTTGTCCGAAGGATGCAACGGATGATTTGGATGAGTTTCTGTTTGCAGCTCGAATCCCCGATGTGATGCTAAAGAGAGTTTATCCTTCGAACCCAATCTTGGTTTCTTACTTAGCAACCATCAATACTTCTGTGGATACTAGGATTCTTTTACCACAAATATCTGAAAAGAAATCCAAGAAGTCGAAGACAGCTGATGTTGGGTCTTCAGATACAAAAGTCAAGTCTTCAAAGAAAACGAAGCAGGTTCCTGTGATTGAACCTGAGCCAATTCAGCCAGAGCCGATTATTCCAGATACCCAAGTTACTAAAAAGGAAGTCATTCTTTTGAAGACTGGAGTATTTAGACGAATTAAGATGAAGTCAAAGAGCAAGAGAAGATCATCAGTTACGAATTTTGTACGTAAAACAAAAGTATCTCATCAAGGGGTGATTTTTTGGGAAATTCTTGCCCCTGCTTCTCCATCATCAAAGAAGAGAATAGCTGCTGACATGGCTAAGCATATTTCTAAGAAGAAGCAGCGTAATTTGGTTATCTCTTCTGATTCTACAGCTGATGAGATAGAAGTTATTCCAGAGACTCCAGAAACAGTTCTTATCAAAGAATCTTCTAAAGCCGATACTTCAGTGACTCAACCACCCAAAGTTTCAAGTGCCAAGATAGTTACCGTGGAGGCTCGAACTTCAGACATCCCTATAAACATATCTGATATGGATACAATTTTCATTATGGATGAGGATACTTTGAATAATGCAGCTAAAGGTAACACTTCGAATGTGGTTTGCGAATCTCTCATTTCTTTGCCTTCTCAGACTACCCCTATTATTCCTACAACATCTACCACTGATTCTCCCACATTTACTCACATTATTTCACATCCATTCACAACACTCTTTTCATCACAATCAACTGATCCACCTACCACCACCTCTCCACTGAAAGATTCATTCTTGGAAACTGAAATGAATTAGAAGGTTTTAGGGGAACATTTAAAAACCTGGAGTTTGATGAAGAGGAAACTGATTTCCAGGATCATATGCTAACGATGATGAAACAGTTTAAGATTTTGAATACAGAGCTCAATTCAATTATTCAATCTCAAGCTGACATTGGGGGAGGTCATGCTGTGTCAAGTCTGGAAGTTGATGGCATGTTGTCATTTCTTGGAGGAAGGCTGACAACCAAAGTTTATGGAATGATTCAAGCTTCCGAGTCCTGATTAATGGAAAAGATTGATCTTTCTGATAAAAATAATGAGTTATGGGTGTAGTCACAGAGGTTTGATTTTCCATTAAACCTACAAGATTTGAAGATGGTAGCAAAAGAAAGACATGTGCTCTTCATTCAAGATGTTAAGAAGGTGCGAGAAGATGTAAATTTTAAAATTCAGGAATTACATGAAGATATGGAGAAGGAAATTTTGGTTGTTCGTACTAAATTCGAATCTATCAACAAAAAGGTGGATATTATCTGCGAAGCTGTTACAAAGTTTGCAAAGCTCTATGAAAGTCTGAGTACACATATTACTTAGCTTTTAACAACTAACAATAAAGATTTCATGGAAGTATTCACACTTCTAAAAGAGCTCAAAAGTCTATCTTCCAATCCTGCTTCGTCCATACTATCTTCGGAAGATTTGATCCAAAAATTTTCCAAGTTTGAGGAATTACTTGTCCACCAACTGGGTCCTTTATCCCGCATCTCCAGCTTCTTCCAACTAACTATGCCCCGCCAGCTAGCACAAGGGTGCAAGGGGGAGAAAAAATCATGGCAGAAATGAAAACAGTAGGAGATTTGAAGGTGGTGGGGAAAGTGTTTTCAACGAATATTCCATCATCAAAACCAGTCATTGCAACAGCTGGTCCAATCACTTCAACCGTTGTCACCACTGTGCCATTCAGAAAACCAAAAGGAATTGTGATTGGTAAAACTACTGAGGTTGGAGGGAGTGGTTCCAAACAAAAAGAAAATGTTGATGTATCTGGTGTGAAGTCAAAGGGAAAAGAAATATTGATTGAAAAGTCTAAGGAGGAGAAGAAGGCAGAAGCAGAAGCGGAGGTTGAGAAAATGAGAATGATACAAGTATCATGACTCAAAGAGAAAGTGACCCTCGTGGTTTGAACAAGGGTGATCCTGCGAAGCACTATAACTATGAAACGATTGAAGCCAAAGTTGCTTTTAATCACATGTATGCGTTTGAGAAAAATCCCAAACAAAGCTACATTGTTACAAACACATATTCAAGCCAGTTGGATTTCCCCATTAATGAAATGATGTTCATTATGCCACAATTCAAGGTTGAGAGAAAATTTAAAGAAAAAGATGAAGGAGCACACTTGAAGATCAGATTTCATGTTGTTCTTGCTAAGCCAGCTGAAGAAGTATGGTCATTAACGAAGATCAAGAAGGTGATTAGCATAAAGAAGGATGTGATCTTCGAAGACACAGTCTAAAATATTAAGTATGTGGTGGTGAGGGCAGATGGAAAATAATGTGAATTCACTGTGGTTGACTTTCCATTGATGAACTTGTATGATCTTATACAAGTTGCATTAATTCTGAAGGAAAGGTCATTTTACAATTTTCGTATTTGCAAAATACTGAGCTAGATGAGTTTAAGGTTGGAGTGACTCACATCAAAATCTTTATTGAAAGTTATTACGAACGTCTTGCAATGACTGATGTGGAGTTGGCTACTGCGAAGGGTTTGGAAATAAGATCTCCCATGAATACTACGAAGACTCAAGCAAAACTTAAAAGATATGTTGATGTAGAAATCTGCTTGAAACCCTTTGGGTTAGTCTTTTAGGGGAAGAATAAGTCGGGAAGGTGGAAGAAATTTTTGTTTCAAGCTGCTGAGATGGAAAGATATTCAACTTCGCAATATACGAACTTAGTTGTTCATATGCACCATTGCAAGAAGAATAATGAAGGTGATAAGAAGGAACCGAAGAAAATTATTAACTAGTATACAGAGATTTGAAGGGTCATGCTTTACTCTATTCAAATTCTTACCAATTGAAGACTTCGACTTTGATTCCAAAGGGGGAGATTGTAAGGGTGATTTTTGTTGTAATTAGTCGAAGTATTTCATGTCTTCGTATGTTCTATTCTTTGTTCCTTATGTAATGTATTTTTCTAAGGCATTGTATTCAAAGCTTAACGTTTAGTCCTTAGAATATTTTTTGTATGCTTTTCTCTCCTATAAATAGGAGTGTTTACTAGAGTTAGAGGATGACTTCAACAGAACTTGTATTTTCTACTCAGTAAAAACTTGAGAAGTGTAATAGAGCTGAACCAGAAATCATATTTACATTGGTGTTCAAATCTCGCATACTTCTTTTTGATCATTTGAAACTTTGATTAATTTCATACTCGATTCCATGTTTCATCAAATAGGTTGATTGTTAGCCAAAACAATATAATAAAAGTTGAAGATCTCATCAATAGGAGCCCATCGATATAAAGAATATCGAGAACAAAGTTCGTATATAGGAGTTATGCTTTCTGCAGCGATCTCTTATAGCCTAAGCCTTTAAAAAAAATATAAAATTTCGATAGGTTGAGAATTAGTTGTTGTGATCTAAATGAAAGTTGTAAATCTTATAGAGAGCTTTCCAAGGATATAAAAAACATCAAATATAGAGCTCATAAGAAGAAGTTACACCATTTTGTAAATCAGCAAAATCGTACGTGCAAAGTGTGTGGCACACGTGATGACGTGGCACCACAAGAGAGCACCAAAAGGAAATTTTGGGGAAGCCCCTTTCTTTCGAGACATGGTGACATACCCCAAGGAAATGGTGATACATGACACCATGAAATGGTGACACGTGGCAGCCTTCTAAAGAAGTGGATGTGGAGTAACGCAGCGTCGACACATGGTTGGAAGTTAGAGGAGCCAGCAAGGAGATTATGTGGGGCGTGCATCTTTCTTCCCTATAAATATCCTTCCGTTTTTCTTTCATTTCCACCCAAAACCTCCAAAACTCTCTTATAGTCTCTTTGTTTTCTTAGGCAAGATTTTGATAGTTTTTTTTGGATATTTAAGTAAGGTTTTAAGGTCCCCGAGAGCTAGGCAAATAGAAGCTTGTGGTTTCGTAGTCCTATCCGTGTGCTTTTCCCAGTTTTCGCTAAAACCTCTGTAAGTTAAGCCACACTCTTTTGCTTTCAGTTTAACTTATACTTATAGTAATAAGTCTTTATTATGAACCTATAAATAAGATTTACTAGTAATTCCAAATCATAATACCGATTGATCTACTTATGGGAAAGTTTTCCATAATGGTCACGTTAGCCTGGTTGTTGGATTTCAGAAAATTTATTATGCCGAAATGATCCTGCCGCTCAACTGTCCTGCCTGGCTGATCCTCACTTGTTAGATCTTGATGTAAACATTGGGATTAGTGAGGAATGTAGACTATCATTATTATATTCTCCTGGATTACAAAACTAGACTAAGGCTTTGCACTTTATGCGTCTAACTATGCATTCACCTAAGTCATGTGAGTGCATAGTTACTTTCATCTCACACATATATATCAACTGTTTAATTTTCTTAGACTCCCTATGTTTTTATTATATAAGTTTGTGATAACTATGCTAAATGAGATAAAATTGTATTTACATTAAATCGGGCAAAAAGGGTAGATAGAGAAAAGATATGATATAATGGTAAGAGACCATACCATAGATAAAATAGCAGTGAGAGATCATACTAGAGATAATATATGGGTAAAAGAACATGACCAACTGAGAGCTGTCATCTAGCAGAGTGTTGATGACGACAAAGACTCTTCTATACAATCCAGTGGAACACTAGCAGATTCGCAATCTGTGGGTGTTAATAGATCACACTAACCAATATAATGGATTGCGTGTTCAATGGAGTACTCTATCCCCGTCATGGTTACCTTACTGGCATGTATTTGCTAAGGAATCCCCAAGGTAATGTTGTTTACTTGTTGTTACAGGGATCCTCTAAAATAGAACCCTTAAGATCATCATTGAGGATCAAAGAGTGAGAATAATGGGAAATGGGCAATCAGGAATATTTTGTGTGGTCTGTTATATAAAACAATATAATAATACTAATACTATGGGTTGAAAACCCTATATGATCACCAGGCTCCCAAGCATAACCTACTCGGTTTCCTTGTATCACAGGTAATGATACGAAGGTACAATCCACTGAGAGGTTCAAAGAATTTAGGTCATTAGTGCACAGAGTTATTACAAGGTCTGTAATTCTTTACAATATTTATGATTATGTTTTCTATTAGTTATTACAGCCCAAGGTTTTAAAAATCAATTACAAAAATTTCTTCAGAAATACATTTATGGGACCGATTCCCCAAAATAATTTAGACTCTGTTTTACATAAACATAAATAAAAAGTTTTAAAATTGCCGTAAAAATGGGGATGTCACACATGCCACATAAGATGATACGTCAGTGTCCCCTTCCAGTTTGGCATGCCACGTAAGCGATTACCTGTTGAAAAGGTAAAATGGGGTTAAAGTTTAAGGTTTATCTTGTTTCTTGGGTTTTTCTTTTAAAAAAATGACTTAATCGTTAATTTTTATAGAATATTGGGACTTTTCTGAATATTTCTATTTATGAATATCACATTTAACGTATATTATTATTATAGTTTGTTAATAATAAAGATAACACAAAACTAGCACAAAATCAAATCAAGCCCGACATATTACAATTGTTTTTAACCCTACAAAAATATTATAATTATATTCTTATTTTTCTAACTTTAAGACCACTCGCTATGGGTCACATAAATGTCGTTATGGCTGAGGTGGCACACTAATACGAAGTTCTAACGTTGGGAACACCGTCCCTCCTATTGTTATGGTAAGCCATGTTGTTACGCCAACGTAGTGCAATGTGATTTCCAACCTATCAATGTTATTTTCTTCCTCAACTTTTCTTCACATCAACAGGGTTGAGTAAATGG